TCAGTTGTACATTACACATTTTTATACCAACTTCATTTTCCCTTAGAAGTTTTGCAAATTCATTGATATATACACAGAACAGGATAGGTGACATTGAACAACCTTGTTTTACGCCCTCTTCTATTTCGAAATGTTCTGTCTCAACATTTGCAAATTTAACCTTACATTGAACATTATTATAAAAGTTACATAGCAGTTTCCATACATTCCCCCTAATACCTATATTCCATGCTGTTGTTAGCAATTTATCCCTCCATACAGAATCGAAAGCTTTTCGAAAATCTAGAAAAGCCATATAAGTATGTTTACCTTCTGCTAACCTGGTTGCAGCTATACATTTAAGTGTAAAAATATGATCATCGCTGCGATGATCTTTTCTAAACCCACCTTGGATTTCGGTTAATATATGATTATTTTCTAGGAACTCTGTAATGTTTTTGGATAAGATACGTGTGAATATCTTGGACACGCACAAATTTAGTGTTATACCTCTGTAGTTGTTCAAGTCATTTTTTGAACCTTTTTTATGGATCGGGATGATGATACCTTTGTTCCATTCGTCAGGAATAGTTTGAAATTCTAATAGGTGGTTAAATAATTGACAAAGGGATTCGTTCAACATTTCGCCACCAAATTTCAGGAGTTCATTAGGGATGTTGTCAGTGCCCGGTGATTTATTATTCTTACATTGTCTTAGGGCCCACTTAATATCTAATATAGATATGTTTATGTCGCAGAGCTGAGACGAATTATCATTTTCATTAATACCCCTATCTAGTCTAGTTTTTACGTTGTTTAATTCCTTCTTTGTTTGATAATTTAAGTTATCTTGCGCATTTAAATTCTTTTGTCCTAATGTCTTCCAATATTGACATATTGCTTGTTGCATATTATACTTCATAGGATACTTCCACTTTTTTACGGTTAGAACCCCTTAGGTTTGACCAAAAGTTTTTGGTATTTACTCCTCCATTTTCTGCAATTTGGGCACTTTTATCAATGCGCATCTGCATTATTTTTTGATTTATTGCTTTTTTGACAGCTTTTCTTTTGTTTTGGTAATTTTGCCATAGTTCAACTCCGTGTGTTGTACTATTACCATTATTCTTTAACCAATGACGATGTTGTTTACTAGAAGCCTTTCTCTCCTTGATCAAACGATCAATGTTTGCATCCCACCACCTTTTATGTTTACATTTACTGCTTTTAAATGCTATTGTTTTATTTGCTACTTGTATCAGTTTGGATTACCATGAGGTCCATAATGAGTTGGGACAGTCAAATTCACTGGCGTCCCACTCTTCAAGGGTATGCTCTATTTCTTCCTGGTAATTTGACCAGTCTTGGTTTATTGAGACATTCCAAACATTGGGGTGGTTTTCAGTTATCTTTTTATCTAATTTACTAAGGTTTTGCTTAAAATTAATTATCATTAAATTGTGATCACTTCCTAGATGGAAGCAGCGGTCTTCGTCAACAATAAATGATTCTACATATTTTAGCAGCTCTTCGGATGCTAACATATAGTCAATCGTGGAAGACTGATTATTTCTCATCCATGTTATCTTTCCTTGGCAGATTTGTGTACAATTGAGTATTGTGAGTTCTGAGTCTTCATGAAAGTCAAGAAAACATTTACCATTTATATTGAGGATAGGGTCTCCAAAAGGGATTGCATTACCAATCCTGGCATTGAAATCTCCCATTATTAATATTGGCAATTCTGTCTGGTATTTTTCGTTTTCTATCTGTATAGTTTCTGAAAGTAATTGGTTATATAATTCATTAGATAAACTTGTATCAGTGCCTTCTACCGGAAAGTAGGCCACTGCTATATACATTTGTTTGTTATCGTTTAACTTAACTTTGATCCATAATCTTTCATAGTCATCATCGTTTGAGTCAAAACGATTATCTTCAGTGACTGTAACCCCTTCCGATATTAGAAAACCAACACCCCCACCTTTCTTAAGCCTCCTATTTTTTCCAACCCATTTGTATCCATTGATATCAATTATCTGATTGTTTTGCAGAAAGGTCTCAGCTAAGGGTGCAGGTCAACTCGGCCACAAGTCAACTCGGCCACAGTCAACTCGGCCACAAGTCAACTCGGCCACAAGTCAATTCGGCCACAAGTCAACTCGGCCACAAATCAACTCGGCCACAAAAATTTCAGCTTCTGCCAAATCAGCCACAAGTCAACTTGGCCACAAATCAACTCGGCCACAAGTCAACTCGGCCACAAGTTATTTAA